CTCTTTCCCCAAAGCAGACACCGCTGGAAGCACAATAGTCAACAGCAAGCTTGGCCCAAAGGCCAGCCCAAGGAATCCAACCCGCCCAGAGCCATCACTAGCATCTCCCTGACAATTACTAATCTATTCTTCCTTTTCATAATTTTATCATTTCAAGAATTTTATGTAAGTGAAATCATACACTAAGTAACCTTTTAAGATTGGCTTTTCACTCTCACTCAGCATACCTTTGAAATCTATCCAAGTTATTGTGTCAGTTGTCTGTTTCTGTTTATTTATTTATTCATTTTTAAAGAATGGTTTTGTTTAACTTTATCTATTTATTTTAATTTGACCAGAGAGGGATAGAGCAAGAGTGAGAGTGAGAGGGGGGGCGGTGGGAGAGAGAAAGCAAGCTACCAGGTCTGGGACACAAACCAAGTTCGGCCAAGTGGAAGTCCAGCGCCCTTACTGGCCCGGCAGCCACGCGCAGGCCCAGGGGCCACGTGCAGGCCCGGCGGCCACGCACAGGCACAGGCCCGGTGGCCACATGCAGGCCTGGCAGCCACACACTGGCCCAGTGGCCACACGTAGGCGCAGGCCCAGCGGCCACGCGCAGGCCCGGAGGCCACACGCCAGCCCTGGAGAGGCAGCGGAACGCGGAGCAGAGCCCCGGCCGTGTAGGCCTGGGGGGCCGCACAGGGCAGGGGGGGGGCAAGCTCAGGGCCCGCCACCGCCGCGCCCATTAAGGACATTTCTGAATCTAGGCTCTCAACCCAGAAACCTGGCCATTTGAAGAACAGCAAAGGAGCTAGAGGAGAGCTTAAAGACAGGAATTATAGTTGGAATTACATTTTAATGGATCATAGAGAAAATCTATTATGATAAAATTGGAAGAGATTTTCTAAAGCATTATAACCTTTTAAGTGTTCATTACATTTTAGTATTGCCCTGTGTTGTGTTGTATTGACAAGATATAGAATGAGTATAAAAAAATATGTGTGTGTGTTTAAAGAACAGAGGAGCAGGCGCCAGCAGGTGATGCAATGGTTAAGACAATGAAGTCCCATATGGAAAACCGCGGTTCGAGTCCCAGACCCAAAGGCTTGAAACTCATGCCGGGTGTATATACATGCAAGCCCACAATCCCAAGAGGAGAATGAAGGAGAAGGGATTGTGGAATGGCCATCTCCTTGTGGGGGAGGGTGTGATTTCTCACTGTCTGTCTCTCTGTCTGTCTCTCTGTATCTCTGGTGAGAGCACATTCCCTGTAGGAATAATCTCTCTAAGAAAAAGAAAGAATAGAGGAGTGGAAACTGCATAACACTCTTAGGTGTATTTTAACATTTGCCTGCTGGAAATGAAAGGGAAATAAAGAAAGCATATTTATTTAAGATGAAAATGAAGGACCAACCAGTGAGTGTAGCGGTTAAGGTGCTGGATTCCCATGTGGTCAACCATGTTTTGAGTGCAGACCCAGCAGGGTGAAACACGCTGGGCTTGTGTGTGTGATGCCCAAATCCTGACAGGAGAATGGGGAAGGGATTACAGCATGACATCCCACAGGGGAATGATTTCTTGCTTTCTCTCTCTCTCCCTGCGTCTCCAGTGAGCATACGAGCCTCTTAGCCAAAAACTCTCTTAGGGGAAAGAAAAAAAAAAGCAGAAATAACTCTTTTTCTTTTTTCCCCCAGTGTGGTGTTCACTGATTTCTAGCCAGAATGACTACCTAACTGTGGGTTAGAGTGACAGTATCTCAGAAGATACTACACCTGGCACAGCAAAGTGCACTGGTGACTTACAGTTTCCACTTCACTGATTTTTTTAGTCACCTGTGTTGATAGACAGGGATTGAGGTAAGAGAGCGCCATTCTCAAGTGAGTTACAAAACACAGGTACCCAGCTCTCTTGAATTCTTCTCTTTCCTTTCCCTCCCAGCTCCCTTCCCATTGCTCTCTTTCTTTCATTCCACTAGTTATCCTCTGCTTTCTAAGAAATACTTGGCTTACAAGAAAAGCCTTAAACCACCTCTAGGTAAAATATAAAAATAAACAAAAAACTAAATCAGAAAAATTGAATATGCTTGTTATAACATTTGCCATATCTTCTACAAATAAAATGTACTTTTCCTCTGAGAGTAAAGAAAACAAACTAAATTATGTAAATCGTACGTTAAAAAAAATGAGACATAATATTTCTCATGAATGGAGAATATTCATTGTTCCTTGCATTTACACAAAAATTCTAACACGGGCTTCCTGACTGATATAGAGATAAATCAGTGTTCTATTTATTTCGTAAGTACCTTAGAGCACCATACTTAAACAGTGTGTGTGTGTGTGTGTGTGTATCCACACTGATACCATGATATAACACAGACATGCTTTAAAATAATGAGGTTAAGTGGTAGGTTGATGCAGAGGATAATTCATTCCAAAATGCCTCAGATGAGAATGTCACCCAATAAACAGAGAAAGAAGCCCAGTGGCTCTGTCACAAGGGCAGGGTGTTGCAGTGTGAGCCGGGGACTACATGGGAAGACTAGGTTTGCATCTTACAATTCTACCAGTCTCCTCATTGAAAAAGAAACAAAGATTAAACTTTTTCTAGAAGAACTCGAAGTTTTTTCATATATTTTTTACAACGAAGGCTGTCTTACCAAATACATTTTGTAGGGCTGATTTTACATCCTTATTCCTTAAGCTATAGATGAGTGGGTTCAAAAAGGGAGTTACGAGATTATTGAAGATCTGAATTATGGCACCAAATAAGGGTCTGGGATTGGGCTGAAGAAAGATGATGATCACTGGGCCATAAAAACAAATAATTGCAGTGAGGTGGGCACTGCAGGTTGAGAAAGCCCGATGCCTGCCCTCTGCTGAGCGGATTTTTGATATGGAGACCCCGATGCGAATGTAGGAAACAAAGATAAGAAATAAGCATGTAAAAGCCAAAAGACCAACATTTGTAAAACCTACCCTCTCGGCTACAGAAGTATCCTCACAGGCTAGAGGTAACACTGCAGGCACATCACAGAAGAAATAGGCCAACTCATTAGACCCACAGTAAGGTAACTGGAAGGTGAGGGAACTTAGGATAATGGCCTGGGCAGAGCCACCCAGCCAAGAGCCTGTGGCCAAGATGGAGCAGACCCTGGGATTCATGATGACCGTGTACCTCAGGGGATGACAAATGGCTACATAGCGGTCCAACCCCATCACCGTGTACAGGAAGCCCTCACTGCAGCCCAGGAAATGATGGAAGAAGAGCTGGGCCACACAGCCCTGGAAAGAGATCCCTTGACTCTTCCCTGAAAGGTTCAACAGCATCTTGGGAGCAGTTGTTGAAGAGAAACCCAGGTCCAAGATGGAGAGATTTCCCAAGAAAAAATACATGGGAGTGTGAAGCTGAGAGGAGGAGAGGATCACCATGAGGATGAGCACATTTCCCAAGAGGGTGCACGAATATATCGATGAGAACAGGAATAGAAGGGTGGTCTCTAGACCTTCTGACTCAGGGATCCCCAGCAGGACAAATTCAGTCACTGTTGTGTGATTTCTCATTTTTATAGGATAATCAGCTCTTGGGTGTCTAGAAAGAGAAAGATGAGGATCAGTGGGATACATCTATAAATTAGTTCTGTTTAGTTCAATAAAGCGTAGAAGCAACCAAAGACCTGGGCACTGACAGAGTAAACAAAGGCTCATCCATCCAGATGTCTTACATTCGTGTGAGACAGTTAGTCACATAGCCCTGTAGTCACTTGGTATCATGTCTGCTGCAAAGACAAAGACACTTCTTTCCCACATTGCTTTCTCAGGTGTGAGGGTCAACCGTGAGAACGCAGCCCGAAGGAGGGTCTTAGGAATCTCTTAATGAACCGAACACTGCATACAAAGCCCCTTTCTCTGGAATCATCAGCTTCAGTCTGTATTTGTGACAGGCAGCCTCCAGCTCCTTCTCCAAAGTCTGGAATTGTCCAGCCAGGTCCAAGTTAAAAATACCCTTATTTTGTGGTGCAGAAGATACAGATCAGAGAGAGTAAAAACTTATTTTTATAAATTTCTTAGTTTGAAAAGCTGTAATAAGATTTTGTCAAAATATTCCAAGACAAATATATTTTCAAATTATAAATGTATGAATGTATTGTACTGCCTAAGCCTCTATTAATTACCTCCCATCTGTCCATCTTTCTTACCCACCCACCATCTCTTCCTTTGCTGATGTTAATGAGAAGAATGAAGACCAAGATAAACAGCAAGAGACAAAATCCAAGCAACTTACATAGCAACAGAGAACAAGACAGAGCAGTGCTATTGACTCGAGTTTCCTGTCTTTCCTCAGCAGAAGGAAGGAGTCTCCTAAACTACCATTGGCCTGACGTCTGCAGTGTCCTTTACAGTCATTTTACAATAAAATGTCACAAATCTAATGTGCTCAGTTTCCTTATGGTTACTTCCTGTGTGACTGCAGAAACTGCAATCATCTACAAACATACGGGATTTTAAATAACTTTGATCTTCCTTTGGGTATTAATCCCCCACCCAGGGATCTTATTGGGCAAGGGAGCAATTAATCTGTTTATACAATTGAAACTTAGAAATAAATGAAAGAGAGAAGAATGGAGGAGAAGGGATTATGGCGTGGCCATCCCCCCTGGGGGGTAATTTCTTGCTATCTATCTCTTTCTCTCTCTGTCTGTCAGGTGAGCGCATGTGCCCTATAGCAAAAAACCTCACCTCTCCCCCAAAAAAGAGTATTAAAAAATAATTCTCTTTGTAAAATATTTCTTCATTGAGTAGTAATTATGAAAAAATTCCTTTTACATGGATAGTGGGCAAATTTTGTGAGATGTTTCTATTTTTACTGCTTTTTTTTATATGTATACATTTTTATGACTAAATTAAACATTATTTTACTATATGTTGCCAGCAGAATTGACTTACTACAACCATAGAAAGTCAGAGAATTTAGGAAACTGATGAAAAACTAGTCCTGGAAGATGGAACCTAGAGAAGCTTCAGAGAAACCAGGGAGAAGTGGGAACTAGGGAAGCTCTGTTTTTACTGCTTTTTTTTATATGTATACATTTTTATGACTAAATTAAACATTATTTTACTATATGTTGCCAGCAGAATTGACTTACTACAACCATAGAAAGTCAGAGAATTTAGGAAACTGATGAAAAACTAGTCCTGGAAGATGGAACCTAGAGAAGCTTCAGAGAAACCAGGGAGAAGTGGGAACTAGGGAAGCTCTGAGATGAAGAAGGTACAGTGCAGCCTCAGGGCTCTGCCACCAGGTGACGCAGCCTCAGCTGCTGCTGTTTCTGTGACCCTCAGCTAAGATTTCAAATCTGGTTTCCTTGTCTCGGTCACATGCCACACCCGTGACCAGGGTGCAGAGTACAGGGAATGGATGTGGGCAGTCCTCCCAAAAGACAGGGGTAAGGAGTGTTGCCAGGAGACAGAGGGAATAAATATGACTCAAAGCCAAATATAATTTAAGATGTTGCTGGAAGTATCACTTTACACTACTTGGTATCTATTAAACCTTCAGCGTTAAATGCTTTGAATACTCAACAAATATCGAGAGGAGAGCTTGTATCGAATACCAAATTCCTCATCGAAAACATGCATTCGCTTGTTTATTCATTCATGTGCCTCTTTCCATAAGATTAACAATCTATCTGGAATAAAAAGAGTATTGTTCCTTTTTATTTACAACTTAAAACACTGCTGAAATCTATAGAAGACAAAAGCAAATATCAAAGAAAGTAAATAACCTGCCTGAGTTATGGAGCTCCCAGAAGGAGCTGGGATTTGGTCTCTTCTTTAGGACTTTGACCATCAAGTTTCTGATCATAAAGTTTCAATGTTTAGCAATGTTTAGGTACTCACACTATTCCAGATACATCTGAAATATTTATGTCAAAGTAAACTTAATGTTTTTGTTGCAAATCTAAATATTCATAAAACAATAAAATAGTTAATAATCCTGTTATCCTATTTATCTTTGAATATCTAATGTTGTCCAATGTCATGAATGACTAAAAAAATAGTTTGTAGGTCTGTAGGTGATGCATAAGTTAAGGTAGCTGGATCCCACATGGCTGACTGAGTAGTTCTAGTCCTAGACCAGCAGCTTGAAAATCACACTAGGCACATGTGCATGTATGCCCAAAATCCTGGGAAGAGATTGGAGGGCTAGAGATTGTGATGTGGCCATCTCTTGTGGTGTTTGATTTCTCACCTTTCCTCTGTCTATATATATATATATATATATTAATAAAATAATATGATGAATGTACTTTTAAATAGCAAGTAAAATCTCACTCAACTTATCTTGCACTGGTAAAAATTTTTTCAAGAAATACAAGTGTCAAGGACTCTTTTTTAATGTTCAGTCACAGCATTTTAGAATCAAGGTGGCATGAGCTAAATTACTGTGGCAGTTACAGTGTAAAAAACTCAGGTCATACATTCCCAGAAGGCCAGATGTCCTATGCAGTAGTAGGTATCTGTTAAATAACAAAAAGGGAGCAGATCAAAATAGAGCAGACTTTCATAAACTCAGAAGTTTTCTTATTTTGACTAAGAATTCTTTCTTCAAGGAACTGTAGAGATGTTCAAGAACTATCACACTATCTGTGTTTTGAAGCAAAAGTTCAACGTCTGATTAATTATTTGTGTTAAATATAAAGTCTGTTTGGGTCTTGAACATATAAAATATTCGTGTTTGCTAAAACAGAACTCTGTTTACTTGAATTTTGTTTGTTTGTTGTTTTTTGCCATAGGGTACACATGCTGGAGAGAGAGAGAGAGAACCCCCCCCCCAGGGGGAATGACCACAGTGCAATCTCCATTGTCCTCTTGGACACACGTGCAAATATATGAATTTCAAGTTGGCAGCTCAGGACTCAAACCATGGTCAGCCTTGTGGGACTCCAGCACCTTAACCACTATACAACGTGCTGACCACTTTGATGTGTGTGTGTTTTTTTTTCTTTTTTCTTTTTTTTTGGAGAGGTTTTTGCTATAGGGTGCATGTACTTACCAGAAAGACAGAGAGACAGAAAGTGAGAACTCATCCCCCAGGGGCAATCGCTACGCCACAATCCCTTTTCCTCCATTCTCCTCTCGGTATCTTGGGCATGCACACACACGTGCCCAGCGTGGGTTTAAGCCACCAGGTCCAGGACTCGAACTGCAGTTGACTACATGGGAGTCCAGCGACATAGCCACTAAGCTAACTGCTGGTCCCAATGTGGTTTTAAACTAGTATTTAAAATGGTGTTTTGAAATATTGTGTCCATTGTGGAGTGGCTTAATCAAGCTATTTAATTGTATTACCTCATACTTATTTTCTTGTAGTGAGAACACTTAAAATTTATTTTCTTAATAATTATGTTATAGTACAATACATAGTTATCAACAATAGCTCCCATGTTGCACACCAGAGCCCTATAATATCCCTCTGTGTCAGTGAAACTCTGTATTCTTTGATCACCACCTCAAACTCCATCCTACAATCCCTGTGAATGTCATTCTATTATATGCTTCTATTGGAACAACATTTTAGATTCCTCTTTCTAGTGAGACCAAGCCATAATTATCTGTGTCTGACTTATTTCACATGCCGTAAAGTCTTCTACATCATTCAGATTGCTGCAAGTATCAAGATTTCCTAGTTATTTTAAGACCGATAATATTATACATATACATCCCATTTTCTTAAGGCACTCATCCATTGATGGATGCTGGGAGGCTTCCATGCCATGGCTGCCATGAGTAGTGCTAGAATGAATGTGAGTGTGGGGACTTCTCTTCTACATACTGATTTCAAATATATGTATGTTTTTAAATTTCTATTTTGTTGAAATTTTCCTCAGCAACATTATGGACAATGATTTTTATTTTCTTTAATAGATAAAGGACACATTAAAAAATGTATCATGTAAAAAGGCATTTTACCCTTTAGAGAATTTAATTTGATTAAGAATAGCATATATTCACAAAGTATTGCAATGAATCCAACACTACTTTATAGTAAAGGTCATACAGAGGGCCAGTAGGTGGTGTAGTGGTAAAGCTGGTGGATTCCCACATGGCTGACCACAGTTTGAGTCCCAGACCTTGCAACAAAAATCATTTTGGGTCTGTATATGTGCATGTCCAAAATCCCAAGAAAAGAACACAGGAGAAGGGGCTGCAGCATGGCCATCTCCCCTAGGGGATAATTTCTCACTTTCTCTCTCTGCCTCTCTCTATCCAGCAAGTACACACACCTTATTGCCTTATGAAAAAAACCTGAAAAATAAAAGAGAGAGAGAGAGAGAGAGAGAGAAAAAGTCATACAGAAAACTACAATAGAGTCAATTTGATATAGACTTTCACATGGGACAAAGTAAGGAAGAAAGGAAGGAGCATTAGTGGGGAAGAAAGGCGTCTCCCCTTCTCCTCCTTGTTGAGCTTTCCCTCTGAAATGGGACAGGTGGGTACATCCAGTCACCCTGTGATGCAGCTTTTGCTGCCATCAATCCACCCAAGAAAGAACAATCCCT